CCCCCCCCGGGAGACCTGGCTTTGATTCTCACCTGTGGGCCTCACACATAGCCTCCACCTGCCCAACAGGCTTCAGCAGCTATTCCAGACCAAGACGGGCGAGGCAGAAAGGCCTGCCGATCTATTTCTGAAAATCAGCATGGTAGCTATATAACCTGGTGTCAACTGGAGACTCTTAAGAGGGAAGGGCTGGAGTTTAGCCTGTCAATCGGGTTGAAACTTGATGATCTCATTTGGAGGCTCTACGGAAATAAATAGCTCACTGGAGGTCAGATTCACTCCCTGTGAGACAGTCCTGTGGACGAGTCACATGGAATCACGCTGATAAAGCCAGAGCCCTGGAGCCGGAGGAGCCACGTGGAGACCCACGCCAGCCCCACTGGATCCACTAGACTTTCCACCCAATGGCCTGTGATCTTCCTGCAGTCGGCGTCACTGCATGGCTGCATGAGTCTAAAGAGGAATTTATGGACAAGTATTGACATATGGGCTCATATCGGACTTATGGACTTGATCTGGACAGGGCCGGGATGTTTTCTCAATATACAATTGCTCTTTGATATAAAGCTCTTTCTTATACACATGAGTGTCTATGAATTTGTTTCTCTAGTCCACCCAGACTAACACAGTCAATGAAAGGCCTGTGGATCAGAGTCCAGTCGGCCCTGGGGCTGGCTCAGGACCAGGCGGTGTTTCCGTCCTGTGTGCCTGGGGCCCCTGGGCTATGGGGGTTCACTTGACAACTACTAATGACAAAGGTGCTTGGCCGGGGCCTTCCTCTGGGACGGGCAGTCTGCTGCTCGGCCTGGGCACCCCGTGTTGGGCCCATCCAGGGTGGGGCTCCAGGCCCCCGAAGGCTTTGGCTTCTGCCCAGCTTGGCCCCCTGGAGCCCCTGCCACTGGACTCCTGTGTTTGTGCTGTCCCAGGCTCTCTGGGACAACAACATCGCCTTGCACACAAAGCACTGCCTCGAAGCAGAGCGATTTGAATTTCAGCTGTGCCCGTGACTTTGCTGTTTCCTCCCGAGTCGACTGGTGGAGCTGGGCTCTGGTCTCCAGCACGCCTCGCTGGCTGCTTCCGGGAAAGGAGGCCCGTCCCGAAGGAAGATCCATTCTCCTCCCCCCACAGCCACGGCAGAGCTGAGCAGGTGGTGCGAGGAACCTCAATAAACCCCAAGCACAGGAAGCAACACCAAGCGCTGCGGGCGATGGGCATCCGCCACCAGAAGAGAGGTCAAGGTGCTCAGAGGGCCTTGCCAATCCCAGTCCTCCCTGCTCCCCCAGCATCAGCTACTGCCCTGCACGGCTCAGGCCCCTCTGACAGCGCTCCCATTCTGCTCAGAGGTGGGAGGGGAAGACGCATTCCCTCAGTGCCCGCACTGTGCCAGCTCCGGCCAAGCCTCGCACCAGCTTGGAGTGTAAGAACCGCTGTGTCCATTTGCTTGCTGGGGAAACTGAGGCTCAGGGAGGCAAAGTGACTGGTCAGGGTCAGGTGGCCCAAAAGTGGCCAGGCCAGTCTGGCAGGCACACCACCTGAATTTGGGCGAGGGGAGACCCCCGTCAGCATGCACGCACCTGCTTGAGAATCTGGGCCGCCATGGTGTGGCTGCAGTCGAAGATGATGCGGAATTCGCGGCCTCGCTTCATCTCCTTGAGCAGGGGCCTGGAGTCCTCGGAGTCGATGGGGAGCTGGCGGATCTTCAGGCGGATGTTGTGTCTCGACGGCGCCATGATCAGCTCCTGCAGCCGGATGAGCCCTGAGAGGCGGGCACAAAGCACGCACGCGTGTGCACACCTGGGCGCACAGGCGCGCGTGCGGCCACAGAGCGGCAGACGCACGGGAACAGGTAGACAGACCCACAGAGGCAAGTGTACCCGAATGGCCACAGCAACAGGTCTACGCATGCAGGCCCGAGCACACCCACGCCTGCACATGTGCACACACAGACATGTGTTTCCAGGCCCACCTCTGTCAGTGCCAGGAGGGCCTGCCCTTGGGCACAGAGACTTGTGTGCATCCAAACCAGGGCTCCCCAAAGTGGATGATAGCGCCCCCACCCCCCACTAGTATCACAGGGGGGAGGGGGCGCTGCAAAAGCAGACGCCTACGCTTTCTCCTGGATGAGGGGCGACAGCACCAACGTTTTTAATTGCCAGGTGGTGCTGAGGGTTGTAGGCCAAACCCGTCTGGGAAGCTATGGCCAAGAAGAGAGTCATGCCTATACATGGGTCCATCGTGCGTTGGTGGACAGAGAGCCCGCTCCCACTGACCATCCACCCAGGGTGGGGCTGGGGGTCACGGAGGCTGCGCCAGAAACCACGGCTCTTCTCTGCCTCCCCCAGACACAGCCCTTCACAGCCCCAGCATGCCTGCCCCCCAGGGGAGGGCACAGCAGCTGGCTCCAGGCTCAGCGGCATCAGCCTTGGCCTGCGTGAGGCCAGGATAGGCTTCTGCCCCACCGTCAGGGCAGCCCGCACTGGCAAACCTCACCCAGTCCTGCAGGGTCCACCATGATCTCCTACAGGAAGCCTTTCCTCACGGCTCTGTCCAGAGGAGCCCTCCCACCCCAAGCCTAAGCCGCCTCCTTCAGCGCGGGGCTCCTCTGGCCCTCTTTCATGGCCCCCATGCTGCCAGAGCACACTGGCATCAAGGCTGGCTCTCCACACCCCCTAGCTCAGGGCATGGCACGTAGGCAGTACGAAACAAGATTTCCAAATGGAATTGGCTTCCTGTTTATTTCTCCCCCAACTGAAAAACCCATCCTTTGGCATTTTGCAAAACTACTTAATCTGGGTACTTCCAGGGAAAGCGGAGTGTCACTTCCTAGAGACAAATGGCTTGCTTGGGTCCAATTAAGTTCATTTCCGTGCCCATTCCAAGGCCCATTCTTGCTGACTCCTCTCCTCATGGGTAGCCTGGGAGCAAGCCTGCCGGCTGCTGAACAGACCCCCACTTCAGGGGGGTGTGCTGAGCCAGCATAGGGCCAGGGTCCCAGGAGGCCATCCCTCCTACCTATCCCATCCACCCCAACTCCCTCCCCCCCCCGCCCCCCACCCTCTCAGGACTCAGTGCCTGTATCCTGGCGGCAGATGACAAGGTCTACAAAGTCCACTCAGCCAAGTGTCAATCTTCCACCAGCTGGCTTCCAGTTCTCCTTTGGGAAACAAATCCCTCCCGCTCTCAGGTTGTATGAGCCAGGTGGACTCCATGGCCGGCTCTGGGAACAATGCACGGGGGCCCCAGCTTGGCCAACCCACCCACGCATGTCTCTAGGCCTCCCTCTGGGCTTGAGGGCTAGAAGTGGGACGCAAGTTGGTCCTATTGGGGTGGCTCCTAGAAATTGTGTTAGAGGCACTCCTGCTTTCAGTCCATTCAAAGAGGGGGAGTGCACGTCTGGGGGTGACCGGCCACTGGAGCATGGGAAGTCCTCCAACAGAAAGGGCAAACAGGGAAAGCTGGCTGTGGGGATACCATCGCAGCCTTCGGACCAAACGACACTTGAAGCTAAGTGACAAACTGTCCAGTAAGGGTCACCATAAGTACCGCTCCTCCTCCATGTTTTGTTTGTTGCTGAAGCTAGTGTGCATAGTATTAAACGTTGCGATAAACTGTTACAGCGCCCCCTACTCAGGCAGTCCACTCCATAAGCCTTCCAACAGAGAGAATCTCAGTTTCCAGAACAATCTCTGGTACACAATGCCTGACCTGTTCAGTCTCTCCTTCTTCTTGTGGATTGGACCTCAAATCAGCAACCTGATTGGTGTCCATGAACCCGCTCTGCTGGGGGAGGCAGAGATGTATCCCTGTGACCCAAGTTCCCCAAAGATCTCCCAAACTAGGTGCCATGTCTGTGAGCATCAGGAACATCCAGGCTCAGACCCAGGGACGTGGGGTGGGACAGGCTCTGGAGCAGTCTCGATCCAGGAAGAGCTCAAGTGTCTCCCGAAACCTGGCTTGACGGAGAGGAGGACGAGGAGACGGGTTGACCTGAGCAGAGAAGGAAGGTTCTCGTTCTGAGGGGGCTGGACTTCAAACACTCCAAACGCCCGCTCGCTCCATTTCCACGCAAGACACTCCCCATTCACACCTTTCTCCTGCAAGACGCAGTGCACACCCTTCGCCCACATCCACTCAGTTCTCGGTCTCCATGGACAGCATCAGAAGACGTGGGCTTTGGGGCTTCGGGGACCTCGGACATGAGGGCGGGGACAGGCTGGATGCCGCAGCAGAGGCCACCAGGGCCTTCTTGTCAACCAAGTGCATCGCCCTGTGTAACACAGTGAACCACATTCTGCGGCAGCAAATGTCAGACCTCTGTCTCATCAGTGTTTCCCCCGAGGAGCCGAGAGGCTGGTCTCGGTGGCCCCCAGCAGAGGCCGGAGGTGCTTTCTGCTTGCCTGAGATGAGCTTCTCTTCCTGGCTGCTTCCCTAATCAATCTCTCTCAAAATATCTGCAGTGAATCACGGGTGTGGGAATGAAGCGTTTCACTTACCCAGCACTTCTGCATTCATTACCCTAGTTAACCCCCTCCCCAGTCCTAGAAGGCGTGCAGACACGGATTTCCACTCCACTGCTGCAGATCGAGAAAGTGAGGGGTGGAGAGATGCTGCGAACCCTCCCAAGGTTTGGCAACGCGCTAGCAGTGGAATAGAATGCAGAGACCCGATCTTGGGCTCCTAGGCTGGGGCTCTTTCCTCGATGCCAAGGTTCTTCTACGGCCCTTCTCACTCTCGGCGGCATCCTCAAACATCCCTCCCACCCCCAACCTGGAGTAGATTGCAATGAAGACCCCAATTCTTCACCCCTTCCTGCATTCACACCCCATAACCCACTTGTCAATGTGTTGTACTCTAGTGGCTGGTTTGTGAGTCACTAGGATGCTAGATTCTATGACACTAGTATTTCAAGTAGCAGCAGGGTCACACATAGTAGGCAGGTTTCAGAAGAACTTCCAGGAGAAACTAGGAGGAAAGGCCCGAGGGCCCGCTCCCCAAAACCAGTCAATGAAAACCTTATGAATCACAACATAACAACGTCGACTGTAGGATGAGTCCCTAGATTGGAAGGCACTGCACAGTAGCTTCGACCGGGGACTTAGGCAAACCGGTGATCACAGACATGGTGCAGGACCGGTTCATGTTTCCTTGTGCGAGACGTACATGAATTAGAGCCCACTCCAGGTAGCCGACAACAACCTGTCCACGCCCTTGGCCATGTAACTCCGCAGAACTCTACAGCTGCGGGCTCTGCCCCTTGACATGGGCTGTGTGACTTGCTTACGCCGATGGGTTGCTAGCAGGCCTGACCCAAGGAGGCATGTAAAGTGCAACTCTGCGCTGGGCTTGTTCTTCGCACGCCCGCCATCGTCACGAGGATGTGCCTGGGCCAGCCTGTTAGAGAAAAGTGGGACGGGAGAGCTGAGGCACCTCTCCTAGCCAGAGTCAGCCAGAGTCTGCCACCACCAGGCAGTGCCCAGGCTTGTGAGTGAGCCAGCGGAGGCCGGGAAACTGCAGAGCCACACTCAGTCTACAGTACCAGCCCTGCAGGCTTCTATGCTAAAGCAGTGCCTTTTCGAGCACTGGACTTTTGGGATGGTTTGTTACACAGAATGATCGCAGAAACAGGTAGCCGGTGTTCACCTTGATTAGCACGTTGAAAGGATGACGGTTTTGTGTGGGTAGCAGTGTGTCTGCCCTAAGAGAGGACTCATGCCTGGGGGGTACCCAGTGACTGGCAACCCCCTTCCCGTTGGACAGGGGCTAGGGTTGCTGTTAGGAGCCCCGGAGGTGTAGTTACAAATTGGGCTGCTAACCAAAAGGTCGGCAGTTCAAAACCCCTGGCAACTCCTCAGGAGAAAGGAGGGACTTTCTATTCCTGTAATTAGTTACAGCCTCGGAAACCCTCGGGGCAGTTCTACCCAATGGCAGTGAGGTTTTGCGGTTTGAGGGTTGCTGGTAAGGAACCATGGTACATTGTGAGTTGAGCAACTGAGCTGATAACTATAAGGTCAGTAGTTCAAACCCACCAGTAGCTCTGCAGGACAGAGGTGAGCCATTCTGCTCCTGTAAAGATTTACAGCCTCGGAAACCCACGGGCCACTGCTCCTCCGTCTCTATGAGTCAGGATTAACTCGATGGTGGGGGCTTGAGTTTGAGTTTTGAGGTTTATTGTTTGCAATGACTCGGCTCCAGATCCAAGCAACTCACAGCCAAGTACGGCAGGGCAATCCATTGCCTGGTGTCGGCCGTGCCGAGTGGCTGGGTTTGAGTCCATTGCTGTAGCTGCTGTGTCGAGCCATCTTGTCGAGAGTCTTTCTCTGTTTGGATGACCCTCTACCTAATATTACCCCTCTGCTCAGGACTGGTCTCTCCTGATAACACGTCCAAGGCGTGTGAGACAGTCTTGCCATCCTTGCTTCTAAAGAGCATGCTGGCTGTACTTCTTCCATGGCAGATTTCTGGCCGTCATTAATACTTTCAGTAATCTTCTCCAATATCATAATTCAAATGCATCACATCACAGAAGAGCTGTGTAATCACCTCCACAATCAACTTCAGAACATGTTCTTCTCAGACTCACTGCTAGCTTCCCCTTTGCCCACAACCTCCCCTGACACACCCCTAGGTAACTATTAATCCACATACTGTTTCCATATTCACCCATCCTGGAGTTCATATTCAGAGAGTCACATAAGACATAAGCAGGAAACACACAACAGCAATGACAAAACAAAAGAGAAAAACCTCAGCCCCAAAGAAAGCAGACCATACTAAAGACTTAAACAGCTTGAAAATGGGTCATGTGGTAGTTATGCAATCTGCTGCCAATTTGAGACTTAAGAGCGAAGGGGTGGGGTTTAGCCTGTCAATCAGGTCGCAGCTTGATGACCTCATCTGGAGGTGAAAGGAGAAAAATAGCTCGCTGAGCGTGTGACACACAGACACTCCTGTGAGATATTAGTGATGACGGCCTGATGGAGTCAGAGGTCGGAGCCAGAGGAGCCACGTGGAGGCCCCTGCCAGTGCTGAGATGCTTCCACCATCACTGGAGCCGTAAGACCTTCCACCCACTGGCCAGTGATCTTTCTGCATTCAGCACCATGCATGTGTTCCGTGAGTCTGAAGAGGCCTTTATAGATTGGTGTTGGACATATGAGCTAATATCAGACTTATGGACTTGATCTAGACTGGGTTGGGATGTTTTCTCAATATTCAACTGTTCTTATATATAAAGCACTTTCTTATGCACACGAGTGTCTATAGACTTGTTTCTTTAGTTGACCCAGGCAGGAACACCCCTCCATGCCAGAGTCTTCAGACTAGGGGCACCAAAGGGGGTGGGGGGAGAGGGGAGGCAGGGTTCCTTCCCTCGAGACTTTTCTGTCTGATGCTTCAGAATACAGCCGGGACACAATCGATCCTGTAGCATCCCGACTTAGGCAGAAGGACTTTCTGACGGTCTTTTCTGAGGGCTTCTCTGCCTGCCACTCCCACTCCCATCAGGAGGGAATCCAGAGTGGACACAGTTCACATGCAGCCGCATGCTGGAGGGCTCTGCCCTGCCGGCGATTGTGGCTCTTGACACGTGGGAAGAGTGAGGCCAGATGGGTTAAGTGACTTGCCAAGGTCGCTCGCTCCTAAGAGGTTGGGCTAAGGAACGTCTTGAGACTCGGGTCTTTGTAAAGAAAGTAGAGGGCAAGCAGCTCATGCTGGGCATGAGCTAAGCTTTGGACTCAAGCAAGCCTGGCCGCGAGTGCCAACTCTGATGTGTGCAAGCAAGCCTGGCCGCGAGTGCCGACTCTGATGTGTGCGAGCTGGCTGAGCGTGCACAGGGCACATCGGCATGCGGGGCATCAGTTTCCCGGCTGCTGATTCATCACTCCAAAGAGTCGGGTTGTCTCCAGGCTGACAGGAGCGTGAATGAGAGGCTAAGGACAACACATGGTTCCGAGTGAGCCAGTGGCAGCCTGCGTTTTATGAGTGAATCAGGTTGCACCGCTGTCTGCACTAGGAAGCTGCTGGGGCTGTCTGACCCCAGAGTTGACTCAGAGCGATGCAGGGCCGTGGCCAGTGCCCTCTGTAGCTCTCGGCTCTTCCCGTCCACGCCCCCTGCTTACCCAGACCCTAGCTCCCACCTCTGGTCGTTCCCTTCAGGCATGTTTGCCACCCAGCTTCATGTGGAGAGCCAGGTGGGCCCCTCCTGGCTTCCTCGTGGGCTGAGAGGAAGGGGCTAAGAGCAGGAGGTGGGTTTTAGCAGCCACCTAACCTGCTATCCAGCTCCCAGCATGGATGAGACCCAAGGGCAAGCCCAGAGTGTGCCTGCTGGGTTTATTAGTGCAAAGTGTGGGCTTTGATAAAGGACCCTTGGGACTCAGAGGCAGGTGGAAACCCTTTGCTAGCAAACATTTCTGGAGGAAGGGTTCAGGTTGCACTTAGAAGATTGGACAGGGCTGGGGCCATGCAGGTGTGAACCCGGACCTTCATGGGGGAGAGTGACAGTTAACTGTGCTGGGCAGAGAATGTGGGAGAATGCCTCTGAGCCAGTGGTTCTCAACCTTCCTAATGCCACGACCCTATAATACAGTTCCTCATGTTGTGGTGACCCCCAATCATAACATTGTTTTCGTTGCTACTTCATCACTGTCATTTTGCTACTGTGATGAATCGGGCAAGCCCTGTGAAAGGGTCATTCCACCCACAAAGGGGTCACGACCCACAGGGTGAGAACCGCTGCTCTAAGCAATGAGGGTAACCTTTGGCCAACATCTCAGAGTCTCATGCAGGTGGCCCAGGCAGAAGCTGACGGTTGTATGTGAGAACAGATGGGTGCACAAAGAGGTCTTCAGGTGAGAGTGGAGGTCGAGGTGAGCACTTAACTTTTAGTGAGCACCCACCAGGTGCTTGCATTATTATGTCATGGGATCCCGCTGCTCACTATGAGCTGGGCATGATTAGCATTCCCAGGAGCCCTGGTGGGGTAGTGGTTACATGTAGGGCTGAGATCCACATGGTCAGTAGTTCAAAACCACCAGTAGCTCCTTAGAAGAAAGAAGGGGCTTTCAACTCCTGTAAACAGTCTTGGAAACCCACAGGGGGCTGCAGTGAGTTAGCAGTGAGTTAGCAGTGAGTTAACTGTGACAGATGAGCAAACAGGCCTGACCAGGCCACGCAGCCAAGCACACTAGGCTGTCCTGTGAGCTATGTTGGTGAGTGTGCAGGTGTGCGGGTGTGCATGTGGGTGGGTGGGTGGGTGTTTTGCTGAAGGGCTGTGTGTGACTGAGCAGGCAGAGTGTGAACATGGTCCCAAAGGTGTGAGTGTGGGTAACTGTAGTGAGCCCAGGTGGGTGCTCAGTGCAGGTGTGAGGACACATGCTAATGGGGAAGGTGGGGTGAGCTGGGAAGACAATGTGAGGGGGGGGATAATGTGAGGGGGGTGG